CCAGCAAGGCCCAGAGCTTGTCCATGACGAACACAGCTCAGATCTGTGCACAGCCTTGCCCACCTCCACCCTCTTAACCTTCGTGTGCAGCCCCTGGACTGTGAAAGGGGCTTTAAAATGTGTCATGAATAACTTCACAAGACAAGTGGCTGTCTGGAGTATTTAGGAAGGGAGGCCGTCACCCCTGTTCTAGAACTCCCTGAAGCCACATGGTAGACACTTGCAACAGTGCAATTCGCTTCTCCCCGTCCAGGGATGTCATCACCTGCAGCCACTGACTTTCCCTTCTTATAACAAACGCCAAAGGAGGTTTGTCAGTCTTGGTCAGATGATCAGTTGGTTGGAGCATCATCCTGCAACTGAAAGGTTGAGGGTTCCATTCCTGTCAGGGCACATAACCTAGGTAGAGGGTTTGATCCGTGGTTGGGACATGTATAGGAGACAACAAATCATCACACCAATGTTTCTCTCTCTCCTTTATCCTCTCTCTCTAAAAGCAATGACAAAAATGTCCTTGGGTGAGAATAAAGAAAAAGAAAAAGAAAAGAGGTGGGTCAGCGCCTGGGCCAATGATGCTGTAGGAAACCCGGACTTTCTCGTCCTTGTTCAATCTGATCTGAAGATGTGACACAGGAACAGAACCTGCAGAGAACAATCCCCATCAGGTCTCACTCCCCTCAGCTGGGCTCCTTGAACGAGACCAGAGTTTTCCCTTTGCTGTTTTGACCTACATTTCTGGGAATGGGCCTCAGTCATTCTCTGGGAAGTTGATGGGAGGGATATCCCAGTCTCTCCTTTGCCTCTTCAGACCAAGGGGAGCATTCGGGGACACCAGTACTCCGTCTTGTACCCAGAGAGAGCTTCCTAAAAGGACAACAGGAGAGAGACTACAGCACAAGTGTCCAGTAAGCCCAGCGGCTGTCAGCGCCATGCGACCTGTGGGAAGGGCTTAGGTTTGCTGCCTCCTGACCTTCCGTTACCAACCACAGCGTCTGAGGCATCTTGGGGGCCCTCATTAGAAGGCATCACCTGAGCAAAAAGCTGCAAAACCAAAGAGAAGCAGGCTAGGGTACGGAGGACAATGCCCATGGGCCCACCTGAGAGCCACCACTCAGTGTCATGTTTCTCCTCTGCTCCCCAGAAAGCAGTGTCCCCACCCCCACCATGGCCTCAAGGATTTTGAAACACCTTCCTCAGGAGAAGAAGGCTGAGAGGACACTGACATCCTGCGAGGCCTGAAGGTAGAGTGTGCCCTCCCCTTAAATGCAGGACACTGGGGAGCTTTCCTGGGCCCTGAATGCACCGCACACACTGCACATTCCTGTCTGTACTGAACAAGGTTGACACGTGCTGTATAGACTCTCCCTGGAAACACCATTCTTGTCCAACAAGGGGGGGTTGGTGAAACCTCATCCCATCCTGGGGTGTGTGTGGGACCCAGTGTAACTGGAAACTGGAGGAAGGTGTCCAAGGCATTTGGGAGGGAAAGAGGCTGCTAAGGAAGTCAGACGGGGCTTGGTACCGTTTGTAAAGGAAAGGTGTACGGGTGTGCCCATCTGTGCTGTGAACAGAAAGCTCTAACTCACTGTGTTAATTGGTGTGCCCTCTGGATTATGGAATAATGGGTGCATTTATTTCTGTATTTCCTAAACTCACTTTTTAAAAACAATAACTGTATATCATCAGAAAAAAAATAATGTTCCCTTCAAGTATGAGAGTCTACAAAAGAAGATCTTAAAGTGCAAATTTCACAATGTTACAGTAGTTTTCTTTAGGTGATGAGATTAACAATTTCTTACTGTTAGAGATTAACAATCTCTAACAATCTCTCTCAAAATTATTATTGTTTTTTAAATTTATTTATTTATCTTTAGAGGGGAAGGGAAGGAGAGAGGGAGAGAAACATCAATGTATGGTTGCCTTTCGTGCGTCCCCTGCTGGGAACTGGCCTGCAACCCAGGCATGTGCCCTGACTGGGAATCGAACCGCGATTGTCTGGTTCAAAGGCCTGAGCTCAATCCACTGAGCTACACCAGCCAGGGCCTCAAAATTATTTTTAATAAAGCTTTCTTTAGTAACTTTTAAGAAGTCTGATATTTGAAGTCAGCACCTATGGGTAACATACCTCCCCAAGGGCGGCTCTCAGCGGCTGGGTCAGGAACTTTCCAGGGCAGTTAGGACTGGGGCCAGACCAGGAGCCAGACCAGCAACAGACAGGGAAGGGTCTGGGCGTGAAGACAAATCTGCCAAATTTCAGAAGGGCCTACCTGATCCTGGCTTGGAAGGCAGTGAGCTGGTCTGTGTTCATGGCTGACCATTCTGGCGAGTAACCCCCTCAACAGCCCAGCTATGGTTCCCAGCCAGCCCACAGCTCCCTTACCTGGGTGGCAGACAATCAGAACAAAAACCAGGTGGGGCTGGCCATGGCTGCGGTGGTCACTGTAGTCAAATGTGTGAGGGAGGCCAATGGCCATGCTGTCCCGTTGCCTCAGCCACTGATGTTCTTTTTGCCCAAGGACTATTGCCCTGCCCCATCCAGCTCAATCACAGTGTTGTCATATGGAGGAGTCGGGAAGCCAGCAGGTGCGGCTACTATGGCCCTGGAGGCATACGAGGTGTCATGGGGACAGCATAGTGACTTCAGCTGCCTCGTAATGGCAAGACTCAAAATCCAGCAGATGTCAGGCTGCACTCACTTCTTGGAGCCTCCTCTTCCAAACAAGGATGGTGCTGCCAGTCACTGATGGGTGGGCAGGAGGGGTATGTAAACACCCAGCTTCCTGCACAAGATGGTCTGAGACCGTGTGAACTATTTGAATATGACTTAGCTTTGAAAGCTGCACATCATTTTCACAACACAGATCAGCTCGGTTGTGTGAAGGAGGGACTGTACAAGGGCAGGGGTGACAGCATGTGGATTTGGGGGATACCTTGGAGGCTGACGGCTACACTAGGCATGTGGTTTGCTGCTGAAACGGAGGGAGCCAGAGCAGACCTCTGTCTACTCATCTTAAATTGCTTAGCCTTCTGGGAGGGCTCCAGGGTCTGTCCTGGTCGGGGGTTGTGGGAACCATCACCTGGAAGTCTGTGGGTTCCCCTCCAGCATTACACCAGGACTCTGTCCCTTTCCCATGGCCTGTGCTGAAAGCCACACAATATTGAGTTTATGGTGTTCTCTGTGGGCTATGGTGGTGGGGGGAGAAACAGGGAAGGGAAACAAAACCCAAGAGAGACACCTTCCTTTAAAAAATCATAAAAGACAACAATAGGGGATATTTATCATTGAAACCCACATAGTTTATGCAGACACTCTTCACAAACCTGGCACTGGGAGAACAGAAAGGTCATTGTTCCAGGTCACAGGGTTTGGGTGTCCCACTTTCGTGAACCCACCCCAGCAGGAACAGGGTGGGTCATGCTTAGGTCTCCCTGATGCAGGAGAGGGTGTGGTGCTGTCCTCATTAATTGTTCACCATCTCTCCATTGAACTCAGCTCTGGTTCTAAGATAAGTGTGACCTCTGGGAGCTGTTAGGACTCTTGCTTATACAGATGCAGATATTTACCCTGTTCTCACCCTGAGTCTTGCTGGACTCCCAACCATTGGGTCCACGGGAATTTTGTGTTCTTGGGCCACTGTGGACATTATCTGCAAATGGGTGGCCACCAATGCTCAACATTGTGCATGCCCATTATGCCATCAGACTTCACTTCACGAACAAAAGTTTAAAGATACAAGTACTAATTTCAAGGTGCTGTCAGTGGTGTATTAAACTCTGTGGAGCCCAAAGTGCATTACAGAAGCTGCTGTGTTGTGGGCTTCATGAATGCCATATGCAGATTGGGTGTACCTGTCACAGGAGAAAGTCGGTTCTTCTTGCCAATACAGTAAAGGATTACAGATCAGCAAGTGTATTAGTGTGCAAGCAGGGTTTATTAGTGATACATTCTCATGGAAGAGGACAGGTCTTGCTGAGGTGGGGGTGAAAGGCAAGTTTGTGAGGGTGGCAAGAGCACCAGGCCCTATGTCCTGAGGACTTACATAGTTGGTGGGATGGGGGTGAAGAAGTTACATGTTGATTGATGGGTAAAAGGGTGCCAGCTTTCATAAGGGATGTGACTACCCAGACTTAGGTATGTGTGTGGGGGTTGTTAGCCTGAATCCTTATCTTGCTTCAGACCCCAATTGGCCATCTTGTAAAACAGATACAGGACAGGAGACAGTTACAGTTGAGACAGTTACCCAAATTTACCAATGGCTCTTTCTGTAAGCACTAGGGATCCTCTCATAAAAGATAGTAGACAGAGGAAGGCTATTAGCCAGATTTGTTTTATGGGTCCTTTACTTGACTGCTGTGAATCCCTTCCCATCTTCGAGGACTTGGGATGAATAAACTTTGAAAGCCTTTCTTTGCCAGATAGTGGAAACAATACCTAAATTTCAACCTGTCAGCATGGAGCATCTTGTCATTTTGGAACATCTGGCAATAATTAAATTCTAAATTAAATTTAGAATTAAACCAGGTTCAGAACTGGTGACTGGGTGAGACACGTCTTCCTTGTCCTCCCTGCCTTGGCTTCTCATTTATCCTAACACACCAGTGCAGGCAGATGCTGTTTTCAGTGTCAGTTCTCAGCAAGGGGAGGTTGAGGGTATTGTTTCACATGTCACTCTCAGTACCACCTGCCTGTGCTGAGGAGACTCTGAGGATGCACAGGGTTAGTGGGAGGGTGGTGACCTGGAGGGAGGCACATCCCCAATCTCATGCTTCCTTCTGAGGGCAGCTGAGTCTATGTGGGGAAAGCAGTGGGGTCCACTCAAATTCTGAATTTGGGTACAGACCCCTACCCTGTCCTTATCTTCCTTTGTGCAGCACTAAAGACCAGGAAGACATGGGCACTGAAGACTGTTCAGCAGGACTTGTGATCTCAGCAATCCTCTTGCCAGAGTCTGTCTGTGCTCACTCAAATTTGAATGTCAAACCAAAAGGCTAGAGTTCCCATTTCCATTGTGCAGAGTAAGAGGCAGGCTGAGACTCACACCCACTATGGACTGATGTGGAACCTGTATGCTGTGCACCAGGAAATGCTGACCCTGAAAAGGCAGCAAGGAATGAGGTGCCCAGACTGAGCCAGGCTAATGTCTGTCCACCAGCACACATTGCTCCCTGCTCTTAACCTCTGAAGCTCCAGAGGTTGTAGGAAACTAGAAGAAGAGCCAAGAGAAGCCAAGAAAGGAGGGGTAGGGAGCTGATTAGGAGAAAAGGTCCCCTTCCCAGGAGTCTGGGGAATTCCCTTCCCCCAGAAGTGTCTCCAATTCCTCTCTCTGGTCAGTAAACAAAGCACTGACTCCAGGTTTACATATATGTAGGAGTTAGTGTTTATGTTCTTTGTGGCCCTTCAGGAACTTCCTGCTTTCAGTGATAGGGAAATTGAGGGATATGTATGGAGATAAAAATTTTAGAATAGGTCAAAAAACCATGAATGAGTTTGTTGCTGACGTCCCCATATCACTATGGAATTGTTTGTCCATTTCATCTCGTCATGAAGCTGGAGGGTTGGTTTAAACAGTTACTTTTCTATTTACAATCCTGGGAAGAGTAAGGGACTGTAGACTTCCTGTGGCTACTCCTATGTGACTTAATGGTAATGACTCCCTTACTTCACCGGCAAACATACAGCTTCTCCCGGGTGTGCTTTCTGATGTCTTATGAGATATGACTTCCGTGTAAAGCCTCGCCCGCACTCTCTGCAAACATAGGGCTTCTCCCCTGAGTGTGTCCTATGGTGTCTAATGAGATCTGACTTATCTTTAAAACCTTTCCCACACTCCGTACAAACATAGGGCTTCTCCCCTGAGTGTGTCCTCTGGTGTTTCATGAGATATGACTTCTGCGTAAAGCCTCGCCCACACTCCCTGCACACATAGGGCTTCTCCCCTGAGTGTATCCTCTGGTGTGTGATGAGAACAGACTTCCAGGTAAAGCCTCGCCCACATTCCCTGCAAACATAGGGCTTCTCCCCAGAGTGTGTCCTTTGGTGAACAATGAGATATGGCTTCCGTGTAAAGCCTCGCCCACACTCCCTGCAAACATAGGGCTTCTCCCCAGAATGTGTCCTTTGGTGTACAATGAGAACTGACTTTTGCGTAAAGCCTCGTCCACACTCCCTGCAAACATAGGGCTTTTCCCCAGAGTGTGTCCTCTGGTGTACAACCAGATGTGACTTCCGTGTAAAGCTGTGGCCACACTCCCTGCAAATATAAGGCTTCACCCCAGAGTGTATTCTCTGGTGTATGATGAGGTATGACTTCCGTGTAAAGCCTCGCCCGCATTCCCCGCAAACATAGGGCTTCTCCCCTGAGTGTGTCCACTGGTGTGTTATAAGGTATGATAACTGTGTAAAGCCTTTCCCACATTCCCTGCAAACATAGGCCTTCTCCCCAGAGTGTGTTCTCTGGTGTGTGATGAGAACTGACTTCCAGGCAAAGCCTCTCCCGCACTCCCTGCAAACATAGGGCTTCTCCCCAGAATGTGTCCTCTCGTGTGCGATGAGATGTGACAACTGTGTAAAGCCGTTCCCACACTCCCGACAAACATAGGGCTTCTCTCCAGTATGTGTCCTCTGGTGTTTGATGAGAGCTGTCTTCCATGTAAACCTTCGCCCACAGTCCCTGCAATCATAGGGCTTCTCCCCAGAGTGTATTCTCTGGTGTGCAATGAGAACTGACTTCCAGGTAAAGCCTTTCCCACACTCTCTGCAAACATAGGGCTTCTCCCCAGAATGTGTCCTTTGATGTGCAATGAGATGTGACTTCCAGAGAAAACCTCGCCCACACTCTCTGCAAACATAGGGCTTCTCATCAGAGTGTGTCCTCTGGTGAGTGATGAGAACTGACTTCTTTGTAAAGCCTTTCCCGCACTCACTGCAAACATAGGGCTTCTCCCCTGAGTGTGTCCCCTGGTGTGTGATGAGATGGGACCCATCACTGAAGCCCTGCCAACACCCTCCATGCTCAATTGTTACAATTCTTGACATTCCTACTTCCACAAATAACTTGCCTGTGTCCTCTGGATTTTCTTTCTGGCCTCTGTGGGGCTCTTCCTCCGTCATTGTTTCATGCTCACTAGAGCTCATTTCTTCTCTGGAAAGTTGGAAAAAGGGTTTTGAGATTCTCCTCTGACTGATCCTTTTAAGCAAAGGTTTGGAACTTTCTTTGACCTCTTGACCTCCAGCTTTATCATTCCAGCTCTGTGTACTAGTATGTTGCTGCTGCTGACTCTGATCCTCTGGACAGGGTTCCTCTGCTTGGAGGGGTCTTCTTGCAGATGTTCCCAGGAGAATCTGAGAGGGATGACTGAGTTTCACGTGATGGCTGAGGAATTTCTGACTGGAGAAGGCCAGAGAGCAGGAGGGACATGGGTGCACCTCTGGCTTTTGTTCTGCTGAAAGAGAAAGGTTTGGTCAGGACAGATGTTGATGAGAATGCCTGGGCCGCAGGCATTCCTGCCCAGGAATCCTTCTTACTGTGGTGATAACACAACCTCTGTCTCCCACAGTGGCCACTCTCTGTCTATTTCCCTTTTATTTTTATGCAGTGCACCTTCTTCAGAAATCCAGAAAGCCCACATCAGGAGTCTTTTCTAACATTGCCCAGACCAGGGACTTGTGAGGAGCATGAGAGGCTGTTTCACTCCCTGTGTGGATGGAACTGCAGTGACCTTTCCTATCTACAGGTATCTTCGAAGTCATGTCAAAGAGGAAACCCACAGGCCCCAACTAGGAATTGCTTCTCTCAGGTGTTCAAAATAGCAAAATAAAATGTCCTTCTGCAAGCCTCACACCAAATATTTATGCTCATCTCATTAAGTGTTAGTCCATTATCAATACACTAAGACCTGTTTCAAAATATTTCAAACACTTTTCTTACAGGCCTGATTCCTGTTCCTCTGGCCAATCCACCATGCTGTCTCACCTGGAGAAGCATATGAGGGCATTCCCCACTGGAGTTTCTTTTCTTTTTTTTTAAGATTTTATTTATTTATCTTCAGAGAAGGAAAGGAGAAACGGACAGAAATATCAATGTATGGATTGGTCTCGTGGGTTCCTTGCTGGGAACTAGCCCACTACCCAGGAAGGCGCCCTGACTGGGAATCGAACCACAATCCTCTGGTTCGCAGGCCCGTGCTCAATTCACTGAGCCACACCAGCCAGGGCTATTTTCTAAAAATTAACAAAGCATACTTAGAACAGAGAACACAGCTGACGACTGCACTTTCACTCATGAAATTCCCCAGTGTCTCAACTCAGATCATCGGCACTGCATCTCCCTTCTCACCCTCTATGCTGAGAGGAGACCCGAGTGACCCTCAGCCAAGTCAACGCTGCATCACTTTTCTTCCCTGCAGTAGCGGTTCCCTCTGCCTGGAATCCTCTGCCCGCAGGTATTTTTGTAAATGTTATTTTCCGAGGAGCCCTTCCCGGACTACCTGCCACAGTGCACCTCCCCTCACACTGATCCCTAGGCCCTTGTCCTGGATTAGTTTTCTCCAAAGCACTAACCACTATGTAGTGTTTTGCACACACAAGCACCTGTGCCTGAGTTTCCCTTCTTCACCCATCAGCTACTCAAGAGCAGTGATTCTGATCCTCACATTAATCTGTATTTCTAGGTCCCAGGATGCTGTGCCTCAGAGTAGAATCTCTCATGACACTTTACTGAAATTATGAACAAATGTGCCCTGTCTGAATGGTGTGGCTTGGTGGGTTGGGTGTTGTCTGAAAACTGAAAGGTTACAAGTTTGATTCCAGTCAGGACACATGCCAGGTTTTGGGGCCAGTTGGGGGTGTGCCATAGAAAACTGGTTAATGTTTCCCTTGCACATTGATTTTTCTTTCTCCCTCCTTTCCACGCTCTGTAAAAATAAACAAAATCTTATTTTAAAAAGATTTATGTGTTTATTTATTTTCAGGAAAGGGAGAAGGGAGGCAGGGGGAGGGAGAGAAAAATCAATATGTGGTTGCCTCTTACACGCCTCATACTGGAAACCAGGCCCGAAACCCAGGCATGTGCTGCAACTGGGAATCGAACTGGCAACCCTTTGGTTCACAGGCTGGCACTCAATCCTCTGAGCCACACCAGCCAGGAAAAAATCCTTAAAATGCTTTATTTAGAAGTATGGAGAAAAATGAAGAAGAAACAACTATAAAAGTGCCAGAAAAACTGCCTTGGGGAGAGAAATGGTTAGTGCTTCAAAACTTTTTTTTCGTGCCTCTCAGTCTTTCAGCACTATATGTGGTTGTGTATTTTGTTCATGAAATATTTTAAAAATAAAAAATATAAAAATTTGCCTAAGAGTCAAAGGCATATGAATGAATTGTGAATTTCTGAAGCATATCAGGTGAAACTCTACTGACTTTAGAGGGGATTTTACTCTACTTAAGAGTTGGGTCATGAATATTTCTATGGAGAATTCTTGTTTTTGAAGAACAGTGGTGCCTACCTCTTCTGGCTATGAGTTCTCTCTTCCACTTGCTGCCCCACTTGCTGCCCAGCTCCTGGCCATACTCGTCCCCACACCAGACCAGCAGCTCACAGCCTGGCCTGATGACACGGCACGTTCGGTAGAAAATCTGCCTGTGGTATTGAAAGGCCACCAGGTTCTGCTCTTCATCATCCCGGGCACAGTTCACATACCTGGGATTGAGGCAGATGAAAGGAAAGAAAACCAGTAATGAGCTCCCAGTACCTATTACATCATGTCCAGCCCCTCACTGATTCTTAAGGCTCTCAGGCTCTAGTGTTGCCCACGGCCCTGAATGGTCTTGGGGAACCTTCTGTTCAGTGTCTGAGCATCTATCCACATGTCATGTGAATTCCTACCCCCAAGTCCTGCTGGCAGTGTTCATCCTGCCTAATACCATTTTCTAAAACCCAGTTCTACACTTAACCTTCACCCTGACTGACCGTAATATCCAGTGATTTCTAACTTCTCCAAGCTCTAAATCAAGTTCTTTCACACCACAGAACCTGGTGCTTCATCTAGGCCTCTGCTTCTAAATTAGCTAATTATCCAGTACTCAGCCCACATCTGTTTTCTCTTGAAAGGCTTTTCTCCAACCCCCATACACTTTATTTAGGGTACCATTCACTTGCCTACCCAAGGTTACCATAGAAAATTGGAGGTCTGCCCTGGCTGGTGTGGCTCAGAGGATTGAGCATGGGTCTGTGAAACAAAGGGTTGCCGGTTTGATCCCCGGTCGGGGCACATGCCTGGGTTGTGGGCCAGGTCTCCAGTGGAGGAAAACATGAGAGGTAACCACACATTGATGTTTCTCTCCCACTCTCTCTCCTTCCTGTCCCCTCTCAATAAAACTAAATAAATAAAACATTTAAAAAAGAAAATTGAAGGTCTTTTTGTCTTAATAAAATTAAACAGAACAGTAGTAGTTGATTCACATTCTGCTGCCCCTGATAAAAAGAAAGCCCCTCTCAGGAAAAGGGCCCATTCCTCTGTAGGCCTCAGAGCCGAGCTCTAGTTTAAAGTGGGGCTGGGATGATTTGCTGCTGCACAGGCTTAGGCCACCCTTGGTTTCTGCTATCTTGACACTTTGCACTTCTTGGAAATTATACTTAAATGTTTTTAAAAGCAATTGTATTATGTGTGTCTGCAAGAAGTCCTTCATAAGGACATGGGTTGTGTGATCTGTTTACGTAATGTATTCCTTCACCTAAACTGGAATATAGTAACTGCTTAATTAATGTTCGCTTGATAAATTAAAGTGTAACCCAGTGTCCCTGGTGAATCTAGGCTCTTCAAGGTCCTTTCCAGTGTCCACATTGTGTCTAGCACAGAGCTTTATATTTTGAGGACACATGCAATATTTTCTTCCTAAATGTCCCCTGAAATGAAAGAACACTGTATGGAGAAAAAGAGAGAAAAAAGGAATTGAGGGAGACCATGATGAGAGGGAAAGATATAAGGGCTTGTGGGGGATGAGTGTCCCCTCTGGCACCCAGAGACCTGTTGACCTCACCTCATCCAGTTGGCCCAGGATCTGTCCTTTCCATCCACATACTCATAGCAGTTTCTCCCTTTGGTAATCTGTGTTTCAGAAAAGAAGTTAAAGACCTTTTATTTTTTGTGTGGGGAGGTAACAGTCAGAAGAACTATTTTACCCTACTGTCATTAAAGCTCTTTCAGCCTGCTTGGGGATTCAACTGCCAGTTCAGACCACATGATATTCTTCTTACTCATCATCTACACATCTGAGTCTACCTGTCCAATCAGAGCAGGAGTCCCACAAGGGAGGAGCCACTCTTTTGTGTCTGCAACACTTTGCTCCCACTTTCCTTCTGAGCCTTAAACAGGAGCCCTGTGTTCATGTGAAGTCCAGTCAGTACACAGAGCTAACCACCTTGTCCCCTCCATGGCTAGCATGTAGGAGGTGAGGTTCCTCCCAGCCTCAGAAGGAATGTGGGAAGCCAGAGGACAGTGGAAGAGGTAAATAGTTCTCACCAGCCAGGAGTATCTGCTCTTGGCTGCCTCTTCATCTTCTGTGATGTGTCCTTCATAAGGGCCAAAGTACAGACCCACAGGCAAATCAGCTGCCTCATTCCACACTCCAAGCCCAGCCTCAGGGATGCCCGATGGCCCAATTCTCAATCCAGGGGGCAGAGTGAGGGCTGAGCGGTAGGGATGCCCAGTGTCCACTGCACTGTCCTTTACAAATGTAGGGGGTCCATGCACCACACAGCTGTTGATGAAGAAGTTCTGACACTTCTCACAATCTGCAGGCAAGACCAACAGGGGTTAGGGAAGGTTTAGCACATGTTCCTGGACACAAAGAGCTTCAGAGGGAGTCCGGCACTCACATCACTGAGACTCAATCCTGTACTCTATTCCACAAGAGGAAGGGAATGATTTGGGGACCAAAGGACTACATGAAATTATTGTATCATAATACACTTCTTAGGGAGGATCACTTACAAAGGTAGTCATCATCCTGGGGCTCGACCTCCTGGTACACACAGTCCTTTCTTTCTCGTAGGCTATACATCTTCATGTCCATCTCCTTTCTCCTGAGTTCTGAGTTGGAGAAGGCCAGGTGAGTGAGGTTGGTAGGGTCTAGAGTATTAGTTCCCATTTTGTCAGATAACACCATCTCCTCCCATCAAATTATTACCTGTTGTTTTGCATACTCTGGTATTTTACTCCATTAACTATTGGTTCAGAAGACTAAGACTCCACACTAACTACAGATGACTGATTCAATTTTAGTTTCTAGCTTTTCCCATTACCAGGTTTAACTTGCCAACCTTTAATCATTCATAAGATATTTATGGAGTGCACATTATGTGTTAGACATTGAGTAAAGGCCTGGGCACACAATACCAATAAAGTGTGGTTGCTATTATCACAGATGGATTTCTTGGACAACTTGCATGTGTCACCTGTTTTAAATTCAATGTAATGTTTTCAAACAATAATGAGTGATGTTTCCTTATGTTCACTTCACCCATTACCATGCAGGAGCTCAGAGAATTTATAGGATTTGCCCAAAGCTCCAGTGTTACCTTAAGTCTCAGGTAACACTTAAATCCAGGCCCATCCAAAGTCTACCCCACAGACCTAAGTCATACTTATCAGCCATTCTATAGGACTTAGAGGAACCTAAGTTTCCAAATTCTTTTCTTACTTGATTTTTGTCTAGTGTGCTTTCCAAAGGCACACGCTTCTCCAGGAGGGGACACTGGTTTCTGGCCATTCTCTGAGTCACTTGCAGTCATTGAATTCGCTGTTCCTGACAATTCCTTCAAACTGTCTTCATTGCTTAATGGCACCCTGGATGTTGCCTTCAATATAAGAGTCATATATTAAAAGATAACATGTATTTAGTTTTTTAAGGCTTATCATATATTTTACATGCCTGTCTTTAATACTTCAACCCTTTGAAATATCTAGAAAGTATGAATATTAGAGGCGATAAGGCAAATGTGGGTAATGAATCCAAGATTAGAAGCCATGCCTTATGGCTCTTTTCTTTCAACTGTCTGTATAATATTGAGAGTGAAGGAAACTGGGAAGAGAATTAAAAAGTAGTTGGCAGAAACATATCTAGACAATTAAATGGTGATAAAATTTGTAATGCCTTAGAAAGAAGATTTGTACTTAGATTAGCTGGTTCCCTCCAACTGTTTGAATAAGGCTGTACCAGTAGCTAGTCGTCTTCAGTGTCCTGATATATAACATGCCAATTTCTTATGTTATAGTGAACATGCAATTAAATGATGTTCAACAAAGTACTCTGAATTACATAATACAGCATGAATATGCTGCTATCAATTTACCCCTCAGCTATGTCCACATTTCGATCCCAGAAAGATTACCCTCAGCATTCACTGATTAGCATCTAGTTTAATTTGTAACTGCAATTGTGAAATCATTCATTCAGCAAACATTCAGGGGCCCTCTGGAGCCCTGATCTGGGCCTGAGACCTCTGAGAAGTTTTAGGTATGGACCAGGCCCTCAAAGAGTTCACAACACAGAGGTAGGCAGGCTGAACAAATGATTCTAAACAAGATGACAGTGGCCTCATTAGAGTTCAAGCTGTTAGTTCACCTATTTGAAATCAGTTTCGGACAGATGAGTTTCTGTTGAATAGTGTGTAACCTATGTGAAGGCCTTAAGTCATTTTATCATTTATTGTTCCTCAATCATGAAACCTGGAGCTCCTCAGGAGTGGGAGACGCTTTCTTTGATTACAGTGGGTGGCTCTGATCCTGGCCATTTTACATTCTTCTACACAAGTGGTCATCCACTGTACCAACTGCCTACACATTGTAAGCTTTCCTTATTCAGAAGGTCTTAGTGCATCTCTCATTTCACACAGCAGAGAAGTTTGGTTAAAAATGTCAGTCAGATGACTGTAATGACATGTATAAGACAATGTAAAGTTTAGAAAACTATGAAGGTTTTCTTTTTTAATTGAAAAAAAAAGATTTTGGTTATTTTTTTGAGAGAGGGCAAGGGAGGGAAAAAGAGAGGGAGAGAAACATTGATCAGTCACTTTTCACAAATACCCCAATCAGGGACCGGGCCCACAACCCAGGCATGTGCCCTGACCAGGAATCAAATAGGCCATCTTTTGCTTTGCAGGATGACACCCAATGGAGTTACGCTGGCCAGGGAAAAACTATGCATGTTTTAATGAGTTGGTAAGTGTTTTAGAGAAGAAATATGGATTAGATTGCACAACCACTGATACTGTGATCTTAGACATATAGTCAAATATTTCTATATCTCTGAAAGGTCACTTTCCTCATTGTAAATGGTGACGGTTACAGTACTTTCCTCGTCAGGTAGTTGAAATGTATAAATGAATTGATTCACATAGAATCTTAAAGTCTGAAACGCTGTGAGAATGAAACAAATGGTAGTTACTATTGTTGCTGTAGTTGTTAACTATTAACATGGTGATGAGCCCTGGCTGGTGTGGCTCAGTGGATTGAGTGCTGGCCTGCAGACTGAAAGGTCACCAGTTCCTGGTCAGGGCACAAGCCTGGATTGTGTGAGAGGTAACCTATTCATGTTTCTCTTCCTTTCTTTCTCCCTCCATTCCCCACTCTCTAAGAATATCAGTAAGTTAAATCTTTAAAAAAGGATGATAATGTTGAACAATGTGTTGAAGAGATCAGGAAAGGAAGGTGGCAGTTCCTAGGATACTTTCTGCATTTTCCAACTTTTACCTGCATTTCTATCCGTGAGGAAATACTCACCTTCTGGTGTTTACTCTGTGCCCTTCTGCAGGCCACCCAGGAAGGTTTCACTGAAAGATGATGAGAAATCAGTGTTTTCACTGGTAAATGTTTCCAAAATCTGGAGATTCTTATTAAGGACACGGAATTGTGAATAAGAGTAGTCCAAGAACAATCCCAGGATGATTGGAAAATGTTTTCTAGGGTATCATTAAAGCCTAGGCTTTCATTGGGGCCATCAACTAATTTATTTCATTAGAATGATTAAAAAAAGACGTGTCATCTACGGTTCATCCTATGTTCATAAAGCATCTATTACAATTATGAAAAAAACAATTGGCCTCTCCTGACAAAAATGTAATAAAAGTAACTGCACAGAAACTCCATGTCTTCAACATTCTGTTTTCTTCATTCCAACAGGCTTTGTCTGGTTAAGGGCACCATGACCACCTCGCCTCCTTTCTCTGGTATCCTCTCCACTGTGCACATACTGGCCATCCACACCCTTCCTTAATCATTAGACCATGGACAGCATCCACAGTCTGTTGACCACAGAAACAGAATTCCAGTCAAGTTCACATCTTGACTTCAGCTGTGTTTCAACCACATACCCAAGAAAGTGGACTGACCCTTCCAACCAAACACTCACAATACTACATAGGATGACATTGTGGCCAACATCAGGTAATGATACAGTGATCAACCACTCCTGGCCCTGGCCATCCCTGCAGCTCCTGTAATCACCATGGTTAATACTGTTCCCATCTATCTCTGTGCAGGGCATTGGGCAGTCAAGTGTGGGGACACTCCTCACCAGCCAGACCTGCCTCCCTCTCTTGTGATGACAACTCTTCTGAATTAGTTATTTCTTATTCACCTGTATGTTCTTATACATTTACTGTTTATTAATGTATCTATAAATATATATGATTATGTTGCATGCTTGAAAGTTTACAGGAATAGCCCCTCACTGTACCACACACTGTTCTGCATTCTGCATGTTTGCTGGACAAGCAAACCCTGTTCCCTGGTTAACTCCTGAGATGCATGCAACCTGACCTAACCAGGTCCGAGTCAGGAGGGCAGCTCTGGTTCCTCCTGCTCCTCACCTGGCTGCCTTGGAGCCCATTCTTCATCCGAGTTCTCAGGGTCCTCCTCCTGGAGCTCAGTGGCCTGCCTGCTGTGGTGACACAGGAAAGCTGCTTGGGGGGCCCTGAGACCTGGAAAGAGACAAAACCTTTGTCCTGAAAGCAAAGAGTTTGGAGGAGGAACAAGCTCCAGGAAGCCACTGTGGAGGGGTCCAAAGGGACAGGAGAGTCTACAAGGGGTTGCTGTGAGCACTGCATCATCAGTGCCAGTCCTGCTCTGATGCACTGATGTGAAGGAGCCAACTCCCCCATCCCTGTCCATGCAGGAGGGAGGTGTAGGCAGATGGAGCCCCCTGACACCAAGGCAGCCTGGCAGCCTGTCAGGTCACCACCAGATTCCTTCTGCCCAGTGCCTGCACCCTTGATACCTAGGCTGGTGAGCGCATCAGAGTTCCTCTTCACATTCCAGTACCCGCCTTTCTCCCAGTCTCCCACTTTCACCCACTCCTCCCTGGAGAAGTAGAGGGAAGTGTCTTTCAAAACTTCTTGGGCCTGGAAAGGATAGTGAAACATCAGTAACTCAGTGATGCCAGTGAGAACAAGCACAGAGGGCTTCCACTGCCCCTGGGTGCAGGGAGCAGGCTGGGGCCTCGGTGGTCCTTGTGCTGCAAGCACTGAGCCTGTGCCTTGGCCTAGTCTCGGGTCCCCAAGCGGCTACTCCTCTGGGGCGCACTGAGGGTCTCCTCACACTCTGTCCTTCTCCCACTTTCTTGCCCCGGCCCTGCCCCACATAATCCGGTCTCTCCCATCACTGCTCTGCACACCCCACATCCAGGGCCGGGAATCTGAGGACTTCTGTCCCCAGGTTCCCTGCCCGCCCTTCAGCTCACCTGAGGCGCCCATCCCATTCTCCCCGATTCGACCTCAGGACTGTCCTGCGGGTCCCTGTTGGGGTTCATGGTGTCCTAGCCCCAAGCCCAAGGTGCCTGAGGAAGAAGAAGAAGATGAGAGGGCCGAATGCCTTTCTCCAGGCTGGCGGGGCGCTGGGAGAGGGGGACACAGGGGCCCTGCAGGAGGAGGGGCTGGATGCAGCAGGCCCAGATACCAGCAGACCTACCCACCCGCTCAGGGCGCCCTGGTTCCCGCCCTTCCCTCTGCTCGCCACCCAGGAGTCTGAAGGCGCCCATCCTCCGGGAGGGCCTGTGGTGGCACAGGAAACGCGCTTTTCCCGGGGAAAACCTCGGAGGTGCACCCGGGCTTCTGGAGAAGCCTACACGAGACTCAGGCGCAGTCTCCAGCAGACTGCCCTCTCTCAGGCTGAGAGGCTTGGGGTCCCCCGGGACACCGGCCTGCGTCTTCCAGGCTGAGAACACTCAGAATGCCTGGCAGAGAGGGTCAGACCCCTGCGGCTGAGGAGATTTGGGGCGTCTCTTCGAGGGGCTTCAGGGTCCCCACCACTCAGTTAGTTTCCAGGACGACAGCATTTAGCGTCTGTGAGTTTGGGGAGATTTGGTCTTTCTGGGCGACTTGCAGGTAGGGTGCCCCGAGCTGAGGGGAACTGGGGTTTTTCAAGCTGTATGGGGGTCTAAGTGTTGGGGGGTTAGGAGATGTGGGGTACTCCGGGTTAGCGCACGTGGGCCCCTCGATGCTGAAGGGTTTTGGGGCCCCTCAGGATGAGGGCACCTATGGTCTCTTAGGCTGGACTTGGAAGGACTCGGGCTAAGGGTTCCACATGGCAAGGCTCCCCGCTTACCGCTCAGTCTCCGGGGGCCCCTGACTGAGTCTCAGTGGTGCCCACTTCAGAGGTGTGTCCTCTCCGAGCTCCAGGGCTTCCGGCCCTGGGGAGGTGTGAGGGCTCCAGGCTTTCGAGGTTCCAGCCCAGAGAGCTGTGTGGGAGCAAACCGCCAATCAGTGCTGCGATCCCACTGGCCTGCCCGCCAATGGGCGGTCAGAACAAGCTGAAAGGGTGTGGCTGAGGGGGCTGAGCCCCTGGGTTGCTGACTGGCCAGCAGGAAGACCCGCCCTGCCCCGCCAGGATTGGCTACTCTGGGTGTTGCAGCTAAGACTGCGGATTGGCGGTTGCTGTGGCCAGTTTTCTTGCATCTGGTGAGAAGCCCACCCCGCAGGAGCTGGGAATCCTGAGCCAGGGCTGGACCTGAGGGTGAACGTGGCCCTCCTGCTGCCTGACAAAGTGTCTTTGTTCCACCAGATTGTGGTCGGGATCCCCAACCTACACCTAGGCCCCTGCCCCCCCCTCCCCTTTTCAAACCTAGAGCTGCATAAGGAGTGAGGACGCGGTCAGGACTGCATTGCATTCCGTGGAAACTGAAGTCAGTAAATTCGGACCACGCAATTCATACACACAATACGTCCCAGAGGGCTCAAATATTTAAACACAACAAATGACATAATAAGTATACTGCAAAACACACTGGAAGAATTTCACATCTCAAGGAAGTGGCATTATGTGTAATAGGTATGTTTAAGTAACTCAAGTATAAAAACATTTCAGAAATAGGAAGAAAAGCTAAAACCAAACGAAACTGAATGCAGTTAAAAACACTGAAAAAAAAAAAACAACCCTACCATGATTTTGGGTAAAAATAACATCAAATTTGAGGACAGGGGTCCAGAGAGCAGGGTGTGTTTCGCTGCTACTGGCTTTCCCGGGAGAAAATGGAAAGTGTGTCTCTGGGTCTTACCTCATTTGCAGCACATAAATATAACTTGATTTCCATGGACTGGAAATGTGCCAACTAACTGTAATTATTGCTGTGAAATTGCAAAAAAGGAAACCTCACTACAGTGGAGTTGGGGGTCAGTGGGGGTGCTGTCCACCCACAGCACCAACCCAGGGTCAATTACAGGAAAGATGGTCACAGGCCCCAACATATAGATGTACCATGTACTCCCAGGAGAAACTGACACCCCGGCAACTCAGCCAGAGAGAAGCCATGGTCAATCTGAACTGAGGATTTTCTGCACTGCACTTTCATTTGAAATGACCCCTCCCAACTGCTTTTTCCCTGTAAAATAGCGTTCCTCTCTTTTACTTGTGGAGCTTGCCTATGACTTTTCCTACAGCTTGCTTGTCCTAAACTGCATTTTTTTTTTTAGTGTTTCTGAATAAACCCCTTATCTGCTGGTAAAATAACTGCCTGATATATATATATTAAACAATGTCAAGATTCCCTTTTTTTTAGAAAATTTTTAAAATTCTTTTATTGATTATGCTGTTACAGTTGTTCTATTCCCCCTTTCATTCCCCTCCACCCTACCCCTCATCCCCACCATTACCCCCCCTTTAGTTTATGATCATGTGTCTCAAGTCCTTTAGATTCTATATTTCCCATGCTATTCTTGCCCCCCCCCATCTATTTTCTATCTACTGTCTATGCTACTTATTTTCTGTACCTTCTCCCCCCTTCTCCTCCTCCCACTTCCCTGTTGCTAACCCTCCTTGAGATCTTCATTTCTATGTTTCCACTCCTGATCTAGCTGTCCTTTTAGTTTGCTTTTGTTTTAGGTGTGGTTGTTAATAACTGTAAGTTTGTTGTCCTTTCACTGTTCATGTTTTTTTAACTTCTTTTTCTTAGATAAGTCCCTTTAACATTTCATATAATAAGGGCTTGGTGATGATGAACTCCTTGAATTTGATCTTATCTGAGAAGCACCTTATCTGTCCTTCCATTCTAAATGAAAGTTTTGCTGGATAGAGCAATCTTGTTTGTAGGTCTTTGGATTTCATGACTTGGAATACCTCTTTCCAGCCCCTTCTTGCCTGTAAGGTCTCTTTTGAGAAATCCACTGACAGTCTGATGGGGACTCCTTTGTAGGTGACTGTCCCCTTACTCTTGCTGCTTCTAGGATTCTCTCCTTCATTTTAATTTTGGCTAATGTAATTATGATGTGCCTTGGTGTGTTCCTTCTTGGGTCCAACTTCTTTGGTACTCTCTGAGCTTCCTGGATTTCCTGGAAGTCTATTTCCTTTGCCAGATTGGGGAAATTCTCCTTTATTATTTGTTCAAATAAGTTTTCCACTGGTGGATGTGCCTTTCCCCCCTGCTGGTACCCCTATAATTCGGATGTTGGAGCGTTTAAAGATGTCCTGGAGGTTCCTAAGACTCTCCTCATTTCTTTGAATTCTTGCTTCTTGACTCTTTTCTGTTTGGCCATTATTTGCTTTCTTCTGGTCCACTCCATTGATTTGAGTCCCAGTTTCCTTTTCATTGCTATTGGTGCCCTGTGCAATTCCATTCATTTCAATTAGTTTCGCCTTCATATATTTGTCTAATTTGTGGCTATAATCAACCAGTTCTGTGAGGAAGCTGATGACCAGTGTTTTAAACTGTGCGTCTGAGAGTTTTGCTATTTCTTCATGGCTTAGATCTATGGGCTCTGGGGCTTTTGAGATATTCTTGCACCATTTTTGGTCTGTTCTGGCCCTTTAAGTGTGAGAAGCGGTGCCTTGGACTCCCAGGTCGCTGGGTTTTGACGCTGTATGTGGGGGTGTGGTCAGAGTGGGGAAATGGCGACCCCCTCTGCTGTTTTTCACAGCTGGGTGAGGATCTGCGCATTAGGTGGCTCACCAGGGCCGGGCCACTCAGAGTCTCTGGGTTATGACGCTGTATGTGGAGGTGGGGTCAGAGCAGGGAAATGGCGGCGCTCTCCCTGCCACTGTCCGCGGGGACCCGCCTGGCCCCGGTCCAACGGCCCACTCCCTCTCCTGTCCGCCCACGCACAAATGCGCGACCACAGTCAACACGCAGCACCGCTCCTCCGCTGTCTCCCCCTCGGTCGCTCGCCTGGTTGCTCGCTCGGTCGCTCACTAGGTCCAACCCTGCGCCTGGATTCCGCGCGTATGGATTCCGCGGACTTGAGTCCGTCCGACGAGTTTTCCTGTGCAACCCCGTTTCACCAGCCGCTGGTTTCGCCCCTTACCGGTCAGGCTGAAGAATTTGTTGTTACCGGACTCCCGAAAAGTTCAATTTTCCGTGTTCTGGCTGTGTTTTCTGTTGCTAATATTTAGTTGTCTCTAAACTTGGTTGTGTGAGAAGACACGGCACAGCCACCTATGCCTCCATCTTGGCGGAAGTCCCTGCCTGCTATATTTTTAAGGTCACCATAGTTTGGCGGCTTGTATGGGGATCCAGAGGACTCCTGACATCTCTGAGGCTGATGACCAAGCAGGTGCAGTGCCCTTGATCTGAAAGACTCTGGGAAGGGTCCTTTGGTGCAGACTTACCAGTGATCATTTTGAGAATAGCCATCCAGAAATAACATCCTCACACCCTCTGACCCAGAAATTCTACTTTTCAAAATTTTCTCCTAGTAGCCCTGGCCTGGTAGCTCAGTTGGTTAGAGTGCCCTGCCTATATGCCAAGGTGGTCAGTTCATTCTCCAGTCATAGTACCTTCAAGAAGCAAGCCATGAATAAATACATAAGCAGAACAACTCTCTCTCCCCATCTCCCTTTCAAATTAATAAATGAAAAGAAAAGCATAAAAAATTCCCTCCAGTTATGCTTCCCTGTGTATGAAATGAAGTATGTCTAAAATACTGTAGTCCTGGCTAGTGTGGCTCAGTGAATTGAGTGTTGGCCTGGGAACCAAAAGATCTCTGTTTTGCCCTGGCTGGTGTAGCTCAGTGGATTGAGCACCGGCCTGTGAAGCAAAGGGTCGCTGGTTCGATTCTCAGTCAGGGCACATGCCTGGGTTGCAGGCCAGGTCCCCAGTGGGGCACACGTGAGAGACAACCACACATTGATGTTTCTCTCCCACTCTTTCTCTGTCCCTTCCCCTCTCTCTAAAAATAGATAAATAAAAATATTAAAAACAAACAAACAAACAAAAACACTTCACACAAATCCCTTACCAGCTGAAAGACGATCTTTTTACAAAAATTAATTGCTGGTTTCATTCTCATTCAGGGCACATGCCTGCATTGCAGGCCACGTCCCTGGTTGGGGGCATTTGAGAGGCAACTGATCAGTGTCTCTCCTCATCCTTCTCCCTTCCTTCCCCTCTCTCTAAAATTAAGTAAAATCTCTTAGAGAATTAAAAATGTAAAGTATTGTATCTAACACTATATAAAAACATAATTTTAAGGTTTTCAGTAGAAGAGAATTTGTTAAATTATGCTTTGTTCACACTGTGAAATATTATAGAATATTAAAAATGGGTGAGGATATATGATATTTCATTAAGGAAGTAGAACCCACTAAGGTGATTCTAATGGATTTTAATAGAGAATAATTTCTAAGTAATGTCGTTATGTGAGAAACATATCCTGAAAAACAAATTGTGTTAAAAAAAAAAAAAACAGGAAGAAGACATGTGCTGAAAGGAGACTCAGGGACTAGTCACAGGGATCAGGGTCTGGGCTACCTGCAGGGGAAAACTTGCTTTTCTTTCATGTCATTTGGAATACTGTAGCATTTCTTTTCTCCTTCACTTAAGTATACCTATCTATAAATATTTTTGTAGATAAAAGAATGGATGAGAAGTAGTTGGTTATATATGTATGCATTTAAAAATGACTCAACAAAAATTCTGCACACCCTCATTAAATCAGTGGTCTATGCTACCTTCCTCATCCAAATAGGACCTTGACCACCCAAGGTGTCCAATTTGCATCCAAAACTCTATTCCAGCAGCAATATTTCCATCGTGCAAAATATACTGCATCACAGAGTTACTGTTTGTTTCAGAGATGAAAACCATTTATTATGAAAACAATGAATTTTATATTTAAGTATCAGATCCAAGGTCATTTATAGAAATGCTAGTAAGATTATAAGCCCTGACTAGCGTTCAGCTTCTGTGTCTGGCATCTGGCAATCAGAGTTCACTGTCCAGCTCAAACTCTGGAGTCTGTGGAGTCTTGGTTACCCATCTGAGTCCTGTCCCCAGGTCTGTGGCCTGGGTTTGAATCTATTTGGCTATGGGTCTCAGACCTGAGGTCTCTTTGGGTATGGCTTTGGGGTCTAGGGGTTTGTGTGTGGGATCTATGTGCATTTCTATAAACTTATAGTCGTTGGCTCCAAGTCAATGCCAAGAGGAGACACAAGGTTGGGATGTAGTGAAGAAGGAAACTTCAGTGCAAATACCTTAATTTTAATACAGAATGGCTGTGAGTACAGAAGCGTTGTTAAAAAGCTCAGTATTGTTACAGGTGAATTATGAAGCAGCACCCTGTATATCAACTCAATAGTGCTGCTTCTTAGTTACGTAGCATCTGGCCTGTGAGGAGGCCCTAGAGTGAGGCAGCCCTGGGACAACTCCCTCTCCTGCTGTGCTGCTTAGGGCTTCTCCACTCATCTACATGACTTCTCATCTAGACTTTCATTTTCTCTTTGCTCAGCTGCACTGGCACATGAATAAGTGAAAACTGGTAAAGGAGCCCTTCTGAACAAGATGAGGCTGGACAAGCAAAGAAAAGGCCTCTGGTGTTGTCACCACAACAGACTAGATTATTATTATTTTTAAATGATACCATATTTTCCTGTAGCACTTTTTAAGCCCAAACCGAGATGGCCTTTTTTGTTGTTGTGGCTGCTTACTTAAAATATATAGAAAAATTAAAATAATTGAAAATCCTACCCAAACAGGCAATAGCTGCTATTATACTAAGTATATAATATGCTTCTAAACAAGGTGGGGGTGTGGGGTGGGATGGGTGGGGGAAGGCGAAGGGGAAAAATTAGGGATTTGGGAAACTATACTAGACTAACAAAAAATTTATGTTTAAAATATATATTCTGATTATGCCATTACAGTTGTTCCATTTCCCCTTCTTCATTCTCCTCCACCCTGCACACCCCCACCTTCCTTTATGTCCATGTGTCACAAGTTCTTTAGATTCTGTATTTCCCATACTATTCTTGCCGTCCCCCTATTTTCTTCTTACTGTCTATGCTACTATGCTACTTATTCTCTGTACCTTCTCCCCCCTTCTCCTCCTCCCACTCCCCTGTTGCTGACCCTCCATGTGATCTCCATTTCTATAGTTCCACTCCTGATCTAGCTGTCCTTTTAGTTTGCTTTTGTTTTAGGTGTGGTTGTTAATAACTGTGAGTTTGCTGTCCTTTCACTGTTCAAATTTTTTATCTTCTTTTAGTTATATAAGTCCCTTTAACATTTCATAGCATAAGGGCTTGGTGATGATGAACTCCTTGAATTTGACCTTATCTGAGAAGCACTTTATCTGCCCTTCCATTCTAAATGAAAACTTTGCTGGATGGAGCAATCTTGGATGTAGGTCCTGGGATTTCATGACTTGGAATACTTCTTTCCTGCCCCTTCTTGCCTGTAGGTCTCTTTTGAGAAATCCGCTGGCAGTCTGATGGGAGGTCCTTTGTAGGTGACTGTCCCCTTATCTCTTGCTGCTTCTAGGAGTCTCTCCTTCCTTTTAATCTTGGCTAATGTAATTATGATGTACCTTGGTGTGTTCCTTCTTGGGTCCAACTTCTTTGGGACTCTCTGAGCCTCCTGGATTTCTTGGAAGTCTATTTCCTCTGCCAGATTGGGGAAGTTCTCCTTTATTATTTGTTCAAATAAATTTTCCACTTGTGGCTGTTCCTCTTCCTCTTCTGGTACCCATAGAATTTGGATGTTGGAACATTTAGGAATGTCTTGGAGGTTCCTAAGCCTCTCCTCATTTTTTTGAATTCTTGTTTCTTCATTCTTTTCTGTTTGGTCATTTTTTTCCTCCTTCTGGTCCACTCCATTGATTTGAGTACCAGTCTCCTTTCCATCACTATTGTTTCCCTGTGCATGTCTCTTCATTTCAATTAATTTAGCCCTCATTTGTTCCTCTAATTTGTGACAAAAATCAACCACTTCTGTGAGCATCCTGATCACCAATTGTATTGAAGTGTGCATCTGATAGGTTGGCTATCTCTTGATTGCTTAGAAGTTTGGCTCTGGGGATTTAATTTGTTCTTACATTTGAGCCATAATTTTTTGGTCTGTTTGCACCTGTTATATATGAGCAGTGGAGCCTTAGGTGTTCACCAGGGTGGGGCAACCCAGTCAGTGGTTTGTGACGCTGTATGTGGGGGCAGGGTCAGAGAGGGGCAATAGCATTTGTTCTCAGATTTCGGTCTCCTCTGATGCTTCCCGCAAGTAAACTTGGCCCCCCTGGTGCCAGCTCCTGGGTGTGTGGGCTTGTGCACCCTGCAGGACCCTGTGGTTCTCTCCAACAAACTCTCTGTGAGCCTGGGAGCTTCTCCCAGCAAACTTGACCCTGAAAGTTTTTCCAATTGGTGCTTTTAGGCTTTAATTCCCCTTGTTGGAGCTCTAGCCTGCGAAGTCTGTCTCACTGCTCTCTCCTTTGCTCAGTTAATGTGTGATCTGTGGCAAGATCATCCTCCCAGGTCATGGGTGTGGGTGTCCCCCTTTGGTGAACCCACTCAGTCAATAATGGGGTGGGTTATGCTTAGGTCTCGCTCATGCAGGAGAGGGTATGGTGCTGTCCTCACTAAACATTTGACATTTCTGTGTATTGAACTTAGCTCTGGTTGTGAGAAAAGTGTGACCTCTGGGAGCTGTTAGCACCCTTCCTTATGCTTATGCAGATGTAGGTGCTTACCCTGTTCTCCGCTTGAGTTTTGCTGGACTCCTAGCCATTGGGTCCATGGGAATTTTGTGTTCCTAGGCCATTGTGGACATTACCTGGGAATGGGTGGCCAGGAATGACCAACATTGTGCATGTCTATTATTCCATCAGACTTCACAAACAAGTTCAGGATACAATAAGTGATAATTTCGAGATGGTGTCAGTGGTGTATTAAACTCTGTGGGGCACGGGTACAAGGAGAGTGCATTACAGACGCTGCTGTGTTGTGGGCTTCATGAATGCCATAGGGAGATTGGGTGCACCTGTCACAGGAGAAAGTCGGTTCTTCTTGCCAATACAGTAAAGGATTACAGATCAGCAAGTGTATTAGCGTGCAAGCAGGGTTTATTAGTGATACATTCTCATGGAAGAGGACAGGTCTTGCTGAGGTGAGGGTGAAAGGCAAGTTTGTGAGGGTGGCAAGAGCACCAGGCCCTTTGTCCTGAGGACTTACATAGTTGGTGGGATGGGGGTGAAGAAGTTACATGTTGATTGATGGGTAAAATGGTGCCAGCTTCCATAAGGGATGTGACTACCCAGACTTAGGTATGTGTGTGGGGGTCGTTAGCCTGAATCCTTATCTTGCTTCAGACCCCAATTGGCCATCTTGTAAAACAGATACAGGACAGGAGACAGTTAAAGTTGAGACAGATACCCAAAGTTACCAACAGGCTCTTTCTGTAAGCACTAGGGACCCTCTCATAAAATAGATAGTAGACAGAGGAAGGCTATTAGCCAGATTTGTTTTATGGGTCCTTTACTTGACTGCTGTGAATCCCTTCCCATCTTCGAGGACTTGGGATGAATAAACTTTGAAAGCCTTTCTTTGCCAGATAGTGGAAACAATACCTAGAATTTCAACCTGTCAGCATGGAGCATCTTGTCATTTTGGAACATCTGGCAATAATTAAATTCTAAATTAAATTTAGAATTAAACCAGGTTCAGAACTGGTGACTGGGTGAGACACGTCTTCCTTGTCCTCCCTGCCTTGGCTTCTCATTTATCCTAACACACCAGTGCAGGCAGATGCTGTTTTCAGTGTCAGTTCTCAGCAAGGGGAGGTTGAGGGTATTGTTTCACATGTCACTCTCAGTACCACCTGCCTGTGCTGAGGAGACTCTGAGGATGCACAGGGTTAGTGGGAGGGTGGTGACCTGGAGGGAGGCACATCCCCAATCTCATGCTTCCTTCTGAGGGCAGCTGAGTCTATGTGGGGAAAGCAGTGGGGTCCACTCAAATTCTGAATTTGGGTACAGACCCCTACCCTGTCCTTATCTTCCTTTGTGCAGCGCTAAAGACCAGGAAGACATGGGCACTGAAGACTGTTCAGCAGGACTTGTGATCTCAGCGATCCTCTTGCCAGAGTCTGTCTGTGCTCACTCAAATTTGAATGTCAAACCAAAAGGCTGGAGTTCCCATTTCCATTGTGCAGAGTAAGAGGCAGGCTGAGACTCACACCCACTATGGACTGATGTGGAACCTGTATGCTGTGCACCAGGAAATGCTGACCCTGAAAAGGCAGCAAGGAATGAGGAAGACCAGGTGCCCAGACTGAGCCAGGCTAATGTCTGTCCACCAGCACACATTGCTCCCTGCTCTTCACCTCTGAAGCTCCAGAGGTGGTAGGAAACTAGAAGAAGAGCCAAGAGAAGCCAAGAAAGGAGGGGTAGGGAGCTGATTAGGAGAAAAGGTCCCCTTCCCAGGAGTCTGGGGAATTCCCTTCCCCCAGGAGTATCTCCATTTCCTCTCTCTGGTCAGTAAACAAAGTAGACTGACTCCAGGTTTACATATAAGTAGGAGTTAGTGTTTATGTTCTTTGTGGCCCTTCAGGAACTCCCTGCTTTCAGTGATAGGGAAATTGAGGGATATGTATGGAGATAAACATTTTAGAATAGGTCAAAAAACCATGAATGAGTTTGTTGCTGACGTCCCCATATCACTATGGAATTGTTTGTCCATCTCATTTGTCATGAAACTGGAGGGTTGGTTTAAACAGTTACTTTTCTATTTACAATCCTGGGAAGAGTAAGGGACTGTAGACTTCCTGTGGCTACTGATATGTGAATTAATGCTAATGACTCCCTTACTCCACCTGCAAACATAGGGCTTCTCCCTTGAGTGTGCCTTCTGATGTCTTATGAGATGTGACTGCTGTGTAAAGTCTCGCCCACACTCCCTGCAAACATAGGGCTTCTCCCCAGAGTGTGTCCTCTGGTGTGTGATGAGAACTGACTTCCAGGTAAAGCCTTGCCCACACTCCCTGCAAACATACGGCTTCTCCCCAGAGTGTGTCCTTTGGTGTACAATGAGATATGACTTCCGTGTAAAGCCTCGTCCGCACTCCCTGCAAACATAGGGCTTCTCACCTGAGTGTGTCCTCTGGTGTCTGATGAGATATGACTTCTCTGTAAATCCTTTACCACACTCCCTGCAAACATAGGGCTTCTCCCCTGAGTGTATCCTCTGGTGTTTCATGAGATATGACTTCTGCGTAAAGCCTCGCCCACACTCCCTGCACACATAGGGCTTCTCCCCTGAGTGTATCCTCTGGTGTGTGATGAGAACGGACTTCCAGGTAAATCCTCGCCCACACTCCCTACAAACATAGGGCTTCTCCCCAGAGTGTGTCCTTTGGTGTACAATGAGATATGGCTTCCGTGTAAAGCCTCGCCCGCACTCCCTGCAAACATAGGGCTTCTCCCCAGAATGTGTCCTTTGGTGTACAATGAGAACTGACTTCCAGGAAAAGCCTCGCCCACACTCCCTGCAAACATAGGGCTTCTCCCCAGAGTGTGTCCTCTGGTGTGCAACCAGATGTGACTTCCGTGTAAAGCCGCGCCCACACTCCCTGCAAACATAAGGCTTCTCCCCAGAGTGTATTCTGTGGTGTATGATGAGGTATGACTTCCGTGTAAAGCCTCGCCCGCATTCCCTGCAAACATAGGGCTTCTCCCCTGAGTGTGTCCTCTCATGTGTTATGAGAACTGACTTCCAGGCAAAGCCTTTCCCGCACTCCCTGCAAACATAGGGCTTCTCCCCAGATTGTGTCCTCTCGTGTGCGATGAGATGTGACAACTGTGTAAAGCCTTTCCCACACTCCCTGCAAATATAGGGCTTCTCTCCAGTGTGCGTCCTCTGATGTTTGATGAGTGCTGACTTCCAGGTAAAACTTCGTCCACAGTCCCTGCAATCATAGGGCTTGTACTCAGAGTGTGTCCTCTGGTGTGCGATTAGAACTGACTTCCAGGTAAAGCCTTTCCCGCACTCTCTGCAAACATAGGGCTTCTCCCCAGAATGTGTCCTTTGGTGTGCAATGAGAACTGACTTCCAGGTAAAACCTCGCCCACACTCTCTGCAAATAAAGGGCTTCTCCCCAGAGTGTGTCCTCTGGTGTGCAATGAGATGTGACAACTGTGTAAAGCCTTTCCCACACTCCCTGCAAACAGAGGGCTTCTCCCTAGAATGTGTCCTCTGGTGTTTCATGAGAACTGACTTCCAGGTAAAGCTTCGCCCACACTGCCTGCAATCATACAGCTTCCCATCAGAGTGTGTCCTCTGGTGTGTGATGAGAACTGACTTCTTTGTAAAGCCTTTCCCGCACTCACTGCAAACATAGGGCTTCTCCCCTGAGTGTGTCCCCTGGTGTGTGATGAGATGGGACCCATCACTGAAGCCCTGCCAACACCCTCCATGCTCAATTGTTACAATTCTTGACATTCCTACTTTCACAAATAACTTGCCTGTGTCCTCTGGATTTTCTTTCTGGCCTCTGTGGGGCTCTTCCTCCGTCATTGTCTCATGCTCACTAGAGCTCACTTCTTCTCTGGAAAGTTGGAAAAAGGGTTTTGAGATTCTCCTCTGACTGATCCTTTTAAGCAAAGGTTTGGAACTTTCTTTGACCTCTTGACCTCCAGCTTTATCATTCCAGCTCTGTGTACTAGTATGTTGCTGCTGCTGACTCTGATCCTCTGGACAGGGTTCCTCTGCTTGGAGGGGTCTTCTTGCAGATGTTCCCAGGAGAATCTGAGAGGGATGACTGAGTTTCACGTGATGGCTGAGGAATTTCTGACTGGAGAAGGCCAGAGAGCAGGAGGGACATGGGTGCACCTCTGGCTTTTGTTCTGCTGAAAGAGAAAGGTTTGGTCAGGACAGATGTTGATGAGAATGCCTGGACTGCAGGCATTCCCGCCCAGGAATCCTTCTTACTGTGGTGATAACACAACCTCTGTCTCCCACAGTGGCCACTTGCCATACACTTGTCCTGTTATGTTACCTTCCTTTTTATTTTTATGCAGTGCACTTTCTTCAGAAATCCAGAAAGCCTACATCAAGGGTCTTTTCTAATATTGCCCAGACCAGGGACTTGTGAGGAGCATGAGAGGCTGTTTCACTCCCTGTGTGGATGGAACTGCAGTGACCTTTCCCATCTACAGGTATCTTCGAAGTCATGTCAAAGAGGAAACCCACAGGCCCCAACTAGGAATTGCTTTTCTCAGGTGTTCAAAATAGCAAAATAAAATGTCCTTCCACAAGACCAACACCAAATATTTATGCTTCATCTCATTGTTAGTCCATTTCAAATACACTAAGACCTGTTTCAAAATATTTCAACCACTTTTCTTACAGGCCTAACTCCTGTTCATTTGTGGACAATCCACCATGCTGTCTCACTTGGACATGCATATGAGGGCAGTCCCCACTGGAGTTTATTTTCTAAAAATTAACAAAGCATACTCAGAACAGAGAACACAGCTGACGACTGCACACTTTCACTCATGAAATTCCCCAGTGTCTCAACTCAGATCATCGGCACTGCATCTCCCTTCTCACCCTCTATGCTGAGAGGAGACCCGAGTGACCCTCAGCCAAGTCAACGCTGCATCACTTTTCTTCCCTGCAGTAGCGGTTCCCTCTGCCTGGAATCCTCTGCCCGCAGGTATTTTTGTAAATGATATTTTCCGAGGAGCCCTTCCCGGACCATCTGCCACAGTGCACCTCCCCTCACACTGATCCCTAGGCCCTTGTCCTGGATTAGTTTTCTACAAAGCACTAACCACTATGTAGTGTTTTGCACACACAAGCACCTGTGCCTGAGTTTCCCTTCTTCACCCGTCAGCTATTCAAGAGCAGTGATTCTGATCCTCACATTAATCTGTATTTCTGGATCCCAGGATGCTGTGCCTCAGAGTAGAATCTCTCATGACACTTTACTGAAATTATGAACAAATGTGCCCTGTCTGAATGGTGTGGCTTGGTGGGTTGGGTGTTGTCTGAAAACTGAAAGGTTACAAGTTTGATTCCAATCAGGACACATGCCAGGTTTTTGGGCCAGTTGGGGGTGTGCCATAGAAAACTGGTTAATGTTTCCCTTGCACATTGATTTTTCTTTCTCCCTCCTTTCCACGCTCTGTAAAAATAAACAAAATCTTATTTTAAAAAGATTTATGTGTTTATTTATTTTCAGGAAAGGGAGAAGGTAGGGGAAGGGAGAGAAAAATCAATATGTGGTTGCCTCTTACATGCCTCATACTGGAAACCAGGCCCGAAACCCAGGCATGTGCCCCAACTGGGAATCGAACTGGCAACCCTTTGGTTCACAGGCTGCCACTCAATGCTCTGACCCACACCAGCCAGGAAAAAATCCTTAAAATGCTTTATTTAGAAGTATGGAGAAAAATGAAGAAGAAACAGCTATAAAAGTGCCAGAAAAACTGCCTTGGGGAGAGAAATGGTTAGTGCTTCAAAACTTTTTTTCGTGCCTCTCAGTCTTTCAGCACTATATGTGGTTGTGTATTTTGTTCATGAAATATTTCAAAAATAAAAAATATAAAAATTTGCGTAAGAGTCAAAGGCATATGAATGAATTGTGAATTTCTGAAGTATCTCAGGTGAAACTTTACTGACTTTAGAGGGGATTTTACTCCACTTAAGAGTTGGGTCATGGGACTTCCGCCAAGATGGAGGCATAGGTGGACGTGCCTTCCTTCTCACACAACCAAGTTTAGAGACAACTAAATATTAGCAACAGAAAACACAGTCAGAACACGGAAAATTGAACTTTTCGGAAGTCCGATAACAACAAGTTCTTCAGCCTGACCCAGCGGCTGGTGAGGGGTTGCACAGGAGGACTCGGTCAGACGGACTCAGGCGGAATCCAGACATGCAGAATCCAGGTATAGGGTTGGACCTAGTGAGCAACCGAGCGAGCCACCAGGCGAGCGAGCCACCAGGCGAGCCACCTCGGAGGAGACAGCAGGGAAGTGCTGCTGTGTGTTGACTGTGGTCGCCCATTTGTGCATGAGCAGACAGACGAGGGAGTGGGCGGTTGGACCGGGGCCCGGTGGGTCCCGGCGGGTCCCCGCAGCAAGCGGCAGTAGAGGGCGCCGCCATTTCCCCGCTCTGACCACGCCCCCACATACAGCTTCACAACCCAGCGACCTGGGAGTCCAAGGCACCGCTTCTCACACTTAAAGGGCCAGAACAGACCAAAAATGTCACAAGATCTCAAAGCCCCAGAGCCCATAGATCTAAGCCATGAAGAAATAGCAAAACTCTCAGACGCACAGTTTAAAACACTGGTCATCAGGATCCTCACAGAACTGGTTGATTATAGCCACAAATTAGACAAATATATGAAGGCGAAACTAATTGAAATGAATGGAATTGCACAGGACACCAATAGCAATGAAAAGGAAACTGCGTCTCAAATCAATGGAGTGGACCAGAAGAAAGCAAATAATGGCCAAACAGAAAAGAGTCAGGAAGCAAGAATTCAAAGAAATGAGGAGAGTCTTAGGAACCTCCAGGACATCTTTAAACGCTCCAACATCCGAATTATCGGGGTACCAGAAGGGGGAAAGGCACAGCCACCAGTGGAAAACTTATTTGAACAAATAATAAAGGAGAATTTCCCCAATCTGGCAAAGGGAATAGACTTCCAGGAAATCCAGGAAGCTCAGAGAGTACCAAAGAAGTTGGACCCAAGAAGGAACACACCAAGGCACATCGTAATTACATTAGCCAAAATTAAAATGAAGGAGAGAATCCTAGAAGCAGCAAGAGATAAGGGGACAGTCACCTACAAAGGAGTCCCCATCAGACTGTCAGTGGATTTCTCAAAAGAGACCTTACAGGCAAGAAGGGACTGGAAAGAGGTATTCCAAGTCATGAAATCCAAAGACCTACAACCAAGATTGCTCTATCCAGCAAAACTTTCATTTAGAATGGAAGGAAAATAAGGTGCTTCTCAGATAAGATCAAATTCAAGGAGTTCATCATCACCAAGCCCTTATTATATGAAATGTTAAAAGGACTTATCTAAGAAAAAGAAGTTAAAGAAACATGAACAGTGAAAGGACAACAAACTCACAATTATTAACAACCACACCTAAAATGAAAACAAACTAAAAGGACAGCTAGATCAGGAGTGGAAACATAGAAATTAAGATTTCAAGGAGGGTTAGCAACAGGGGAGTGGGAAGACGAGATAAGGGGAGAAGGTACAGAAAATAAGTAGCATAGACAGTAGATAGAAAATAGATGGGGGGGGCAAGAATAGCATGGGAAATATAGAATCTAAAGGAATTGAGACACATGGTCATAAATTAAAGGGAGGGTAATGGTGAGGATGGGGGGGAGGGTGGAGGGGAATGAAGGGGGGAACAGAACAACTGTAACAGCATAATCAATAAAAAAATTTAAAAAATAAATAAATAAATAAAAAGAAAAAAAAAGAGTTGGGTCATGAATATTTCTATGGAGAATTCTCTCTTTTCTTTCTGTTTTGAAGAACAGTGGTGCCCACCTCTTCCGGCTGTGAGTTCTCTCTTCCACTTGCTGCCCCACTTGCTGCCCAGCTCCTGGCCATACTCGTCCCCACACCAGACCAGCAGCTCACAGCCTGGCCTGATGACACGGCACGTTCGGTAGAAAATCTGCCTGTGGTATTGAAAGGCCACCAGGTTCTGCTCTTCATCATTCCGGGCACAGTTCACATACCTGGGATTGAGGCAGATGAAAGGAAAGAAAACCAGTAATGAGCTCCCAGTACCTATTACATCATGTCCAGCCCCTTTCTGATTCTTAAGGCTCTCAGGCTCTGGTGTTGCCCACTGCCCTGATGGTCTCGGGGAACCTTCTGTTCAGTGTCTGAGCGTCTGTCCACATGTCATGTGAATTCCTACCCCCAAGTCCTGCTGGCAGTGTTCATCCTGCCTAATACCATTTTCTAAAACCCAGTTCTACATTTAACCTTCACCCTGACTGACCGTAATATCCAGTGATTTCTAACTTCTCCAAGCTCTAAATCAAGTTCTTTCACACCACAGAACCTGGTGCTTCATCTAGGCCTCTGCTTCTAAATTAGCTAATTATCCAGTACTCAGCCCACATCTGTTTTCTCTTGAAAGGCTTTTCTCCAACCCCCATACACTTTATTTAGGGTACCATTCACTTGCCTACCCCAGGTTACCATAGAAAATTGGAGGTCTGCCCTGGCTGGTGTGGCTCAGTGGATTGAGCATGGGCCTGTGAAATAAAGGGTTGCCGGTTTGATCCCCGGTCGGGGCACATGCCTGGGTTGTGGGCCAGGTCTCCAGTGGGGGAAAACATGAGAGGTAACCAAACATTGATGTTTCTCTCCCACTCTCTCTCCTTCCTGTCCCCTCTCAAAGAAACTAAATAAATAAAACATTTAAAAAAGAAAATTGAAGGTCTTTTTGTCTTAATAAAATTAAACAGAACAGTAGTAGTTGATTCACATTCTGCTGTCCCTGATAAAAAGAAAGCCCCTCTCAGGAAAAGGGCCCATTCCTCTGTAGGCCTCAGAGCCGAGCTCTAGTTTAAAGTGGGGCTGGGATGATTTGCTGCTGCACAGGTTTAGGCCACCCTTGGTTTCTGCTATCTTGACACTTTGCACTTCTTGGAAATTATACTTAAATGTTTTTAAAAGCAATTGTATTATGTGTGTCTGCAAGAAGTCCTTCATAAGGACATGGGTTGTGTGATCTGTTTAAGTAATGTATTCCTTCACCTAAACTGGAATATAGTAACTGCTTAATTAATGCTCACTTGATAAATTAAAGTGTAACCCAGTGTCCCTGGTGAATCTAGGCTCTTCAAGGTCCTTTCCAGTGTCCACATTGTGTCTAGCACAGAGCTTTATATTTTGAGGACACATGCAATATTTTCTTCCTAAATGTCCCCTGAAATGAAAGAACACTGTATGGAGAAAAAGAGAGAAAAAAGGAATTGAGGGAGACCATGATGAGAGGGAAAGATATAAGGGCTTGTGGGGGATGAGTGTCCCCTCTGGCACCCAGAGACCTGTTGACCTCACCTCATCCAGTTGGCCCAGGATCTGTCCTTTCCATCCACATACTCATAGCAGTTTCTCCCTTTGGTGATCTGTGTTTCAGAAAAGAAGTTAAAGACCTTTTATTTTTTGTGTGGGGAGGTAATAGTCAGAAGCATTATTTTACCCTACTGTCATCAAAGCTCTTTCAGCCTGCTTGGGGATTCAACTGCCAGTTCAGACCACATGATATTCTTCTTACTCATCATCTACACATCTGAGTCTACCTGTCCAATCAGAGCAGGAGTCCCACAAGGGAGGAGCCACTCTTTTGTGTCTGCAACACTTTGCTCCCACCTTCTGAGCCTGCAACACTTTGCTCCGGCACCTTCTGAGCCTTAAACAGGAGCCCTGTGTTCATGTGAAGTCCAGTCAGTACACAGAGCTAACCACCTTGTCCCCTCCATGGCTAGCATGTAGGAGGTGAGGTTCCTCCAAGCCTCAGAAAGAATGTGGGAAGCCAGAGGACAGTGGAACAGGTAAATAGTTCTCACCAGCCAGGAGTATCTGCTCTTGGCTGCCTCTTCATCTTCTGTGATGTGTCCTTCATAAGGGCCAAAGTGCAGACCCACAGGCAAATCAGCTGCCTCATTCCACACTCCAAGCCCAGCCTCAGGGATGCCCGATGGCCCAATTCTCAATCCAGGGGGCAGAGTGAGGGCTGAGCGGTAGGGATGCCCAGTGTCCACTGCACTGTCCTTTACAAATGTAGGGGGTCCATGCACCACACAGCTGTTGATGAAGAAGTTCTGACACTTCTCACAATCTGGAGGCAAGACCAACAGGGGTTAGGGAAGGTTTAGCACATGTTCCTGGACACAAAGAGCTTCAGAGGGAGTCCGGCAGTCACATCACTGAGACTCAATCCTGTACTCTATTCCACAAGAGGAAGGGAATGATTTGGGGACCAAAGGACTACATGAAATTATTGTATCATAATACACTTCTTAGGGAGGATCACTTACAAAGGTAGTCATCATCCTGGGGCTCAACCTCTTGGTACACACAGTCCTGTCTTTCTCGTAGGCTATACATCTTCATGTCCATCTCCTTTCTCCTGAGTTCTGAGTTGGAGAAGGCCAGGTGAGTGAGGTTGGTAGGGTCTAGAGTATTAGTTCCCATTTTGTCAGATAACACCATCTCCTCCCATCAAATTATTACCTGTTGTTTTGCATACTCTGGTATTTTACTCCATTAACTATTGGTTCAGAAGACTAAGACTCCACACTAACTACAGATGACTGATTCAATTTTAGTTTCTAGCTTTTCCCATTACCAGGTTTAACTTGCCAACCTTTAATCATTCATAAGATATTTATGGAGTGCACATTATGTGTTAGACATTGAGTAAAGGCCTGGGCACACAATACCAATAAAGTGTGGTTGCTATTATCACAGATGGATTTCTTGGACAACTTGCATGTGTCACCTGTTTTAAATTCAATGTAATGTTTTCAAACAATAATGAGTGATGTTTCCTTATGTTCACTTTACCCATTACCATTCAGGAGCTCAGAGAATTTATAGGATTTGCCCAAAGCTCCAGTGTTACCTTAAGTCTCAGGTAACACTTAAATCCAGGCCCATCCAAAGTCTACCCCACAGACCTAAGTCATACTTATCAGCCATTCTATAGGACTTAGAGGAACCTAAGTTTCCAAATTCTTTTCTTACTTGATTTTTGTCTAGTGTGCTTTCCAAAGGCACACGCTTCTCCAGGAGGGGACACTGGTTTCTGGCCATTCTCTGAGTCACTTGCAGTCATTGAATTCGCTGTTCCTGACAATTCCTTCAAACTGTCTTCATTGCTTAATGGCACCCTGGATGTTGCCTTCAATATAAGAGTCATATATTAAAAGATAACACGTATTTAGTTTTTTAAGGCTTATCATATATTTTACATGCCTGTCTTTAATACTTCAACCCTTCGAAATATCTAGAAAGTATGAATATTAGAGGGGATAAGGCAAATGTGGGTAATGAATCCAAGATTAGAAGCCATGCCTTATGGCTCTTTTCTTTCAACTGTCTGTATAATATTGAGAGTGAAGGAAACTGGGAAGAGAATTAAAAAGTAGTTGGCAGAAACATATCTAGAAAATTAAATGGTGATAAAATTTGTAATGCCTTAGAAAGAAGATTTGTACTTAGATTAGCTGGTTCCCTCCAACTGTTTGAATAAGGCTGTACCAGTAGCTAGTCGTCTTCAGTGTCCTGATATATAACATGCCAATTTCTTATGCTATAGTGAACATGCAATTAAATGATGTTCAACAAAGTACTCTGAATTACATAATATAGCATGAATATGCTGCTATCAATTTACCCCTCAGCTATGTCCACATTTCGATCCCAGAAAGATTACCCTCAGCATTCACTGATTAGCATCTAGTTTAATTTGTAATTGCAATTGTGAAATCATTCATTCAGCAAACATTCAGGGGCCCTTAGGAGCCCTGATCTGGGCCTGTGACCTCTGAGAAGTTTCAGGTATGCACCAGGCTCTCAAAGAGTTCACAACACAGAGGTAGGCAGGCTGAACAAATGATTCTAAACAAGATGACAGTGGCCTCATTAGAGTTCAAAGCTGTTACTTGACCCTATAAGAAAGGGCATTTGAAATCAGTTTCAGACAGATGAGTTTCTGTTGAATAGTGTGTAACCTATGTGAAGGCCTTAAGTCATTTTATCATTTATTGTTCCTCAATCATGAAACCTGGAGCTCCTCAGGAGTGGGAGACACTTTCTTTGACTACAGTGGGTGGCTCTGATTCTGGCCATTTTACATTCTTCTATACCCAGGGTCATCCACTGTACCAACTGCCTACATTGTAAGCTTTCCTTATTCAGAAGGTCTTAGTGCATCTCTCATTTCACACAGCAGAGAACTTTGGTTGAAAATGTCAGTCAGATGAATGTAATGACATGTATAAGACAATGTAAAGTTTAGAAAACTATGAAGGTTTTCTTTCTTAATTGAAAAAAAAAAAGATTTTGGTTATTTTTTTGAGAGAGGGCAAGGGAGGGAAAAGAGAGGGAGAGAAACATCGATGTGAGAGAGAAACATTGATCAGTCACTTTTCACAAATACCCCAATCAGGGACCTGGCCCACAACCCAGGCATGTGCCCTGACCAGGAATCAAATAGACCATCTTTTACTTTGCAGGATGACACCCAATGGAGTTACGCTGGCCAGGGAAAAACTATGCATGTTTTAATGAGTTGGTAAGTGGTTTAGAGAAGAAACTATGGATTAGATTGCACAACCACTGATACTGTGATCTTAGACATATAGTCAAACATTTCTATATCTCTGAAAGGTCACTTTCCTCATTGTAAATGGAGACAGTTACAGTACTTTCCTCATCAGGTAGTTGGAATGTATAAGTGAATTGATTCACATAGAATTCTTAAAGTCTGAAATGCTGTGAGAATGAAACAAATGGTAGTTACTATTGTTGCTGTAGTTGTTAACTATTAACATGGTGATGAGCCCTGGCTGGTGTGGCTCAGTGGATTGAGTGCTGGCCTGCAGACTGAAAGGTCACCAGTTCCTGGTCAGGGCACAAGCCTGGATTGTGTGAGAGGTAACCTATTCATGTTTCTCTTCCTTTCTTTCTCCCTCCATTCCCCACTCTCTAAGAATATCAGTAAGTTAAATCTTTAAAAAAGGATGATAATGTTGAACAATGTGTTGAAGAGATCAGGAAAGGAAGGTGGCAGTTCCTAGGATACTTTCTGCATTTTCCAACTCTTACCTGCATTTCTATCCATGAGGAAATACTTACCTTCTGGTGTTTACTCTGTGCCCTTCTGAAGGCCACCCAGGAAGGTTTCACTGAAAGATGATGAGAAATCAGTGTTTTGGTGGATAAATGTTTCCAAAATCTGGAGATTCTTATTAAGGACACAGAATTGTGAATAAGCATAGTCCAAGAACAATCCCAGGATGATTGGAAAATGTTTTCTGAGGTATCATTAAGGCCTAGGCTTTCATTGGGGCCATCAACTAATTTATTTCATTAGAATGATTAAAAAAAAGTGTCGTCTACGGTTCATCCTATGTTCATAAAGCATCTATTACAATTATGAAAAAACCAATTGGCCTCTCCTGACAAAAATGTGATAAAAGTAACTGCACACAAACTCCATGTCTTCAACATTCTGTTTTCTTCATTCTAACTGGCTTTGTCTGGTTAAGGGCACCATGACCACCTCGCCTCCTTTCTCTGATATACTCCCCACGGTGCACAAACTGGCCATCCATACCCTTCCTTAATCATTAGACCATGGACAGCATCCACAGTCTGTTGACCACAGAAACAGAATTCCAGTCAAGTTCACATCTTGACTTCAGCTGTGTTTCAACCACATACCCAAGAAAGTGGACTGACCCTTCCAACCAAACACTCACAATACTACACAGGATGACATTGTGGCCAACATCGGGAAATGATACAGTGATCAACCACTCCTGGCCCTGGCCCTCCCTGCAGCTCCTGTAATCACCATAGAAAATACTGTTCCCGTCTATCTCTGTGCAGGCCATTGGGCAGCCAGGTGTGGGGACACTCCTCACCAGCCAGACCTGCCTCCCTCTCTTGTGATGACAACTCTTCTGAATTAGTTATTTCTTATTCACCTGTATGTTCTTATACATTTACTGTTTATTAACGTATCTATAAATATATATGATTATGTTGCATGCTTGAAAGTTTACAGGAATAGCCCCTCACTGTACCACACACTGTTCTGCATTCTGCATGTTCGCTGGACAAGCAAACCCTGTTCCCTGGTTAACTCCTGAGATGCATGCAGCCTGACCTAAACCAGGTCCGAGATAGGAGGGCAGCTCTGGTTCCTCCTGCTCCTCACCTGGCTGCCTTGGAGCCCATTCTTCATCCGAGTTCTCAGGGTCCTCCTCCTGGAGCTCAGTGGCCTGCCTGCTGTGGTGACACAGGAAAGCTGCTTGGGGGGCCCTGAGACCTGGAAAGAGACAAAACCTTTGTCCTGAAAGCAAAGAGTTTGGAGGAGGAACAAGCTCCAGGAAGCCTGTGTGAGGGGCTCTGATGGGACGGGAGAGTCTACAAGGAGTTGCTGTGAGCACTGCATCATCAGTGCCAGTCCTGCTCTGATGCACTGATGTGAAGGAGCCAACTCCCCCATCCCTGTCCATGCAGGAGGGAGGTGTAGGCAGATGGAGCCCCCTGACACCGAGGCAGCCTGGCAGCCTGTCAGGTCACCACCAGGTTCCTTCTGCCCAGTGCCTGCACCCTTGATACCTAGGCTGGTGAGCGCCTCAGAGTTCCTCTTCACATTCCAGTACCTGCCTTTCTCCCAGTCTCCCACCTTTGCCCACTCCTCCCTGGAGAAGTAGAGGGAAGTGTCTTTCAAAGCTTCTTCAGCCTGGAAAGGAGAGTGGAAACATCAGTAACTCAGTGATGCCAGTGAGAACACGCACAGAGGGCTTCCACTGCCCCTGGGTGCAGGGAGCAGGCTGGGGCCTCGGTGGTCCTTGTGCTGCAAGCACTGAGCCTGTGCCTTGGCCTAGTCTCGGGTCCCCAAGCGGCTACTCCTCTGGGGCGCACTGAGGGTCTCCTCACACTCTGTCCTTCTCCCACTTTCTTGCCCCGGCCCTGCCCCACATAATCCGGTCTCTCCCATCACTGCTCTGCACACCCCACATCCAGGGCCGGGAATCTGAGGACTTCTGTCCCCAGGTTCCCTGCCGGCCCCTCAGCTCACCTGAGGCGCCCATCCCATTCTCCCCGATTCAACCTCAGGACTGTCCTGCGGGTCCCTGTTGGGGTTCATGGTGTCCTAGCCCCAAGCCCAAGGTGCCTGAGGAAGAAGAAGAAGCTGAGAGGACCTAATGGCTTTCTCCATGCTGGCGGGGCGCCGGGAGAGGGGGACGCCGGGCCCTGCGGGAGGAGGGGCTGGATGCAGCAGGCCCAGATACCAGCAGACCTACCCACCCGCTCAGGGCGCCCTGGTTCCCGCCCTTCCCTCTGCTTGCCACCCAGGAGTCTGAAGGCGCCCATCCTCCGGGAGGGCCTGTGGTGGCACAGGAAACGCGCTTTTCCCGGGGAAAACCTCGGAGGTGCACCCGGGCTTCTGGAGAAGCCTACACGAGACTCAGGCGCAGTCTCCAGCAGACTGCCCTCTCTCAGGCTGAGAGGCTTGGGGTCCCCCGGGACACCGGCCTGCGTCTTCCAGGCTGAGAACACTCAGAATGCCTGGCAGAGCGGGTCAGACCCGTGCGGCTGAGGAGATTTGGGGCGTCTCTTCGAGGGGCTTCAGGATCCCCACCACTCAGTTAGTTTCCAGGACGACGGCATTTAGCGTCTCTGAGTTTGGGGAGATTTGGTCTTTCTGGGCGACTTGCAGGTAGGGTGCCCCGAGCTGAGGGGAACTGGGGTTTTTCAAGCTGTATGGGGGTCTAAGTGTTGGGGGTTAGGAGATGTGGGGTACTCCGGGTTAGCGCACGTGGGTCCCTCGATGTTGAAGTGATTTGGGGCCCCCGAGGATGAGGGCATCTGGGGTCCCTTAGGCTGGACTTTGAAGGTCTCGGGCTGTGGGTTCCACATGGCAAGGCTCCCCGCTTACCGCTCCGTCTCCGGGGGCCCCTGACTGAGTCTCAGTGGTGCCCACTTCAGAGGTGTGTCCTCTCCGAGCTCCAGGGCTTCCGGCCCTGGGGAGGTGTGAGGGCTCCAGGCTTTCGAGGTTCCAGCCCAGAGAGCTGTGTGGGAGCAAACCGCCAATCAGTGCTGCGATCCCACTGGCCTGCCCGCCAATGGGCGGTCAGAACAAGCTGAAAGGGTGTGGCTGAGGGGCTGAGCCCCTGGGTTGCTGACTGGCCAGCAGGAAGACCCGCCCTGCCCCGCCAGGATTGGCTACTCTGGGTGTTGCAGCTAAGACTGCGGATTGGCGGTTGCTGTGGCCAGTTTTCTTGCATCTGGTGAGAAGCCCACCCCGCAGGAGCTGGGAATCCTGAGCCAGGGCTGGACCTGAGGGTGAACGTGGCCCTCCTGCTGCCTGACAAAGTGTCTTTGTTCCACCAGATTGTGGTCGGGATCCCCAACCTACACCTAGGCCCCTGCCCCCCCTCCCCTTTTCAAACCTAGAGCTGCATAAGGAGTGAGGACGCGGTCAGGACTGCATTGCATTCCGTGGAAACTGAAGTCAGTAAATTCGGACCACGCAATTCATACACACAATACGTCCCAGAGGGCTCAAATATTTAAACACAACAAATGACATAATAAGTATACTGCAAAACACACTGGAAGAATTTCACATCTCAAGGAAGTGGCATTATGTGTAATAGGTATGTTTAAGTAACTCAAGTATAAAAACATTTCAGAAATAGGAAGAAAAGCTAAAACCAAACGAAACTGAATGCAGTTAAAAACACTGAAAAAAAAAAAAACAAACCCTACCATGATTTTGGGTAAAAATAACATCAAATTTGAGGACAGGGGTCCAGAGAGCAGGGTGTGTTTCGCTGCTACTGGCTTTCCCGGGAGAAAATGGAAAGTGTGTCTCTGGGTCTTACCTTGTTTGGAGCACATAAATATAACTTGATTTCCATGGACTGGAAATGCACCAACTAACTGTAATTACTGCTGTGAAATTGCAAAAAGGGAAACCTCACTACAGTGGAGTTGGGGGTCAGTGGGGGTGCTGTCCACCCACAGCACCAACCCAGGGTCAATTACAGGAAAGATGGTCACAGGCCCCAACATATAGATGTACCATGTACTCCCAGGAGAAACTGACACCCCGGCAACTCAGCCAGAGAGAAGCCATGGTCAATCTGAACTGAGGATTTTCTGCACTGCACTTTCATTTGAAATGACCCCTCCCAACTTCCTCTTTTTCCCTGTAAAATAATGTTTCTCTCTTTTACTTGTGGAGCTTGCCTATGACTTTTCCTACAGCTTGCTTGCCCTAAACTGCATTTTTTTTAGTGATTCTGAATAAATCCCTTATCTACTGGTAAAATAACTGCCTGCTATATTTTTAAGGTCACCATAGTTTGGCGGCTTGTATGGGGATCCAGAGGACTCCTGACATCTCTGAGGCTGATGACCAAGCAGGTGCAGTGCCCTTGATCTGAAAGACTCTGGGAAGGGTCCTTTGGTGCAGACTTACCAGTGACCATTTTGAGAATAGCCATCCAGAAATAACATCCTCACACCCTCTGACCCAGAAATTCTACTTTTCAAAATTTTCTCCTAGTAGCCCTGGCCTGGTAGCTCAGTTGGTTAGAGTGTCCTGCCTATATGCCAAGGTGGTCAGTTCATTCTCCAGTCACAGTACCTTCAAGAAGCAAGCCATGAATAAATACATAAGCAGAACAACTCTCTCTCTCTCCCTTTCAAATTAACAAATGAAATGAAAAGCATAAAAAATTCCCTCCAGTTATGCTTCCCTGTGTATGAAATGAAATATGTCTAAAATACTGTAGTCCTGGCTAGTGTGGCTCAGTGAATTGAGTGCTAGCCTGGGAACCAAAAGATTGCTGGTTTCGCCCTGGCTGGTGTAGCTCAGTGGATTGAGCACCGGCCTGTGAAGCAAAGGGTCGCTGGTTCGATTCTCAGTCAGGGCACATGCCTGGGTTACAGGCCAAGTCCCCAGCGGGGGACATGTGAGAGACAACCACACATTGATGTTTCTCTTCCACTCTTTCTCTGTCCCTTCCCCTCTCTCTAAAAATAGATAAATAAAAATATTAAAAACAAACAAACAAACAAACAAACACACTTCACACAAATCCCTTACCAGCTCAGTGACAATCTCTTTAAAAAACAAAATTTACTGCATTCATTCCCAGTCAGGACACATGCCTGGGTTGCAGGCCAGGTCCCTGGTTGGGGGCATCTGAGAGGCAACTGATCAGTGTCTCTCCTCATCCTTCTCCCTCCCTTCCCCTCTCTCTAAAATTAAATGAAATCTTTTTTTTTTTTAGATTTTATTTATTTATCTTTTGAGGGGAAGGGAAGGAGAGAGGGAGAGAAACATCAATGTGTGGTTGTCTCTCGTGTGTCCCCTGCTGGGACCTGGCCTCAACCCAGGCATGTGCCCTGACTGGGAATCGAACTGTGGATGTTTGGTTCAGAGGCCTGTGCTCAATCCACTGAGCTACACCAGCCAGGGCCTAAAATCTTTTTAAAAATTAAAAATATAAAATGTTGTATCCAACACTGATATAAAAACAGATATAATTTTAAAGTTTTCAGTAGAAGAGAATTTGTTAAATTATGCTTTGTTCACACTGTGAAATATTATAGAATATTAAAAATGGGTGAGGATATATGATATTTCATTAAGGAAGTAGAACCCACTAAGGTGGTTCTAATGGATTTTAACAGAGAATAATTTCTAAGTAATGTCGTTATGTGAGAAACATATCCTGAAAAACAAATTGTGTTAAAAAAAAAAACAGGAAGAAGACATGTGCTGAAAGGAGACTCAGGGACTAGTCACAGGGATCAGGGTCTGGGCTACCTGCAGGGGAAAACTTGCTTTTCTTTCATGTCATTTGGAATACTGTAGCATTTCTTTTCTCCTTCACTTAAGTACACCTATCTATAAATATTTTTGTAGATAAAAGAATGGATGAGAAGTAGTTGGTTATATATGTATGCATTTAAAAATGACTCAACAAAAATTCTGCACACCCTCATTAAATCAGTGGCCTATGCTACCTTCCTCATCCAAATAGAACCTTGACCACCCAAAGTGTCCAATTTGCATCCAAAACTCTATTCCAGCAGCAATATTTCCATCGTGCAAAATATACTGCATCACAGAGTTACTGTTTGTTTCAGAGATGAAAACCATTTATTATGAAAACAATGAATTTTATATTTAAGTATCAGATCCAAGGTCATTTATAGAAATGCTAGTAAGAATATTGTAAATCCTGACTAGTGTTGTTCAGCTTCTGTGTCTGGCATCTGGCAATCAGGGTTCATTGTCCAGCTCAAACTCTGGAGTCTGTGGAGTCTTGGTTACCCATCTGAGTCCTGTCCTCAGGTCTGTGGCCTGGGTTTGAATCTATTTGGCTATGGGTCTCAGACCTGAGGTCTCTTTGGGTATGGCTTTGGGGTCTAGGGGTTTGTGTGTGGGATCTATGTGCATTTCTATAAACTTATAGTCGTTGGCTCCAAGTCAATGCCAAGAGGAGACACAAGGTTGGGATGTAGTGAAGAAGGAAACTTCAGTGCAAATACCTTAATTTTAATACAGAATGGCTGTGAGTACAGAAGCATTGTAAAGAAGCTCAGTATTGCTACAGGTGAATTATGAAGCAGCACCCTGTATATCAACTCAATAGTGCTGCTTCTTAGTTACGTAGCATCTGGCCTGTGAGGAGGCCCTAGAGTGAGGCAGCCCTGGGACAACTCCCTCTCCTGCTGTGCTGCTTAGGGCTTCTCCACTCATCTACATGACTTCTCATCTAGACTTTCATTTTCTCTTTGCTCAGCTGCACTGGCACATGAATAAGTGAAAACTGGTAAAGGAGCCCTTCTGAACAAGATGAGGCTGGACAAGCAAAGAAAAGGCCTCTGGTGTTGTCACCACAACAGACTAGATTATTATTATTTTTAAATGATACCATATTTTCCTGTAGCACTTTTTAAGCCCAAACTGAGATGGCCTTTTTTGTTGTTGTGGCTGCTTACTTAAAATATATAGAAAAATTAAAATAATTGGAAATCCTACCCAAACAGGTAATAGCTGCTATTATACTAAGTATATAATATGCTTCTAAACAAGGTAGGGGTGTGTGGGTTGGGATGGGTGGAGGGGGCTCAAGGGAAAAAAATGGGAAA